GCGGTCAATACAGGTTGATTGGTTTCTGCGCCTGTGTGGGCCTTGCAGGTGGGCGCCCCGGCTTCCTGTCCTGGAGAGGAGCTGAGTGCTTGTGAGCAGTGGCTCGAGGACTCCAGCTGTCTGTGTGTCTGCCCCTCCCAGCCCGCGGTCGCCTGTCTAGAGTGGTGGCAGCACGTTCCAGGGATGTACATGCAGGTGGAGACACGCACCAGCTCCCGCCTCCATCTGAAGAGGGCTCCGGGCATCAGGTCCTGGTCCCTGCTGGTTGGTAAGAACGCTTATATTTCTTCTCAAGTTAAAATTCTAAGTTGAAAAATTCTGAAGATGAAAATGAAACTAAATTTTTGTTCTGTTCTACTAACCCAAAATATAGCAATGGTTTAACTTCTTTGTATCCTTCCAACTTTTATCCTAGGCGCGTGTTTTTACAGGTGACCTGTCTGTTTTGTCCCTTGGTTGACACCTGTACGCACTCCTGGGGTCCCTTACTTCCTCATTTGCTTGCTTTCATACACTTTGTCCCCAGCGTCTCATTTATTCTCGAGCCCATGTGATGGGTGACAGTGAGGAGTAAGTGGGGGAGGCCCCGGCCTCTGTCCATGTCACTACCCACTGGAGGCCCCACACCGCCCGGCAGCTGCCCTGTACTAACTGATCCGAGGGGTGAGGAGAGGGCCACTGTGCCTTCAGCAGTCCGTCTCTGGTCCTTCTTTCCTGTGACCCTGCCTGCTCCGTGTCAGGTGCCAGGTTGTGATTCTGCACCTGCAGTGTTGCCTGCATTCCACACCGTGTGCTGTTGACTCACACCCACGTCAGGCTCCCCTTTCTGGTTCCCCCATCGGCCCTGGAGCTCCGTGTAGATGTGTCTCCAGTGAACCGTGACTCGTGTAGAGCATCCTCCTGAACAAGCTTACTGGTTGTTCCCCCCACTTCCGAGCCCGGTGTCTCCTGGCCCCCTGCTCCCTGCCCTCAGCTGTCCCTGGCAATGGGAAGGGTCTGTGGGTCCTGGGCTGGTGGTGGCCCAGTGGGAAGATGCCTGCTTTCTCCCTGCAGGAATCCTGTCGATTGGCTTGGCTGCTGCCTACTACAGCGGAGGTGAGCTGCTCATCTGCCCCCAGAACCCTCCTCAGCTGTCTGGAAAATAGAGAAAAGGAGGCAGCTCGACATTTGTGTCTGCCAGGACGTGGCTTTGGGGACTGACTGCCCCTGCCTCTCTGGTTTGAGGGCACGGCCCCATCTCCATGTGCTGGTTTGTCCCTCACAGTTTGCATTTTTTGGCTCGTATCTCCAGCATTTCTACTTGTTATAAAACATCCTTCAGAAACGCTCATGTCTGCCTCAGATTCCGTTGCTGGGACGATCTGTTCTTTCAGCCGTTCCCTGTGAGCATTCCCACCTTCCTGCTGTCACAGACCAGGCTGTGATGGGCACCCTGGGTAGACGCCCAGGGGAGCTGAGGGCAGAGCTGGCGGAGCACGTCCTGAGTGACAAGCAGGGCCCGCAGTGCAGTGGGGCCTTGTGGGGGGATCCTTGCAGGTGTGGGCAGGTGGCTGGGCCCCCAGATGCCACTCTGGCCCAGTGTCTGAGAAGTGGTCATGCTGGGGAGGGGTGGAGGCACCCCTGTGGGCACGTTGGCCTTTGCCCCTCTGCTGCTGCCCCTCACCTGCTGTCTCCTGTGTCTGCTCCCCAGACAGTCTGGGCTGGAAGCTCTTCTACGTCACAGGCTGCTTGTTCGTGGCCGTGCAGAACCTGGAGGACTGGGAGGTGAGGCCATGCAGGAAGGGTGCTGGGCTCCGGGCTTCCTTGCATGGGGATCAATGCAGGAAGAAAGGCCCCAGGGGCCTCGGGCCCCCAGCCTGAGACTTGAGCTCGGTGGGCTCTGCTGGCCGGACTCGGCCCCTGGACGTCGCCTGTCTGTGAGCAGCTCTGGGCCAACGACCCCGCTGAAGCTGTCATTCTAGAATTTCTAGTGAAATAGAAGGGCAGGTCCGCCTCCCTCACCACTCTTGTCCCCCTTCGCGTGTCCTTCGAGCCGCCTGGCCTGCGCTGCATTCCATCCCCCGGCCTCCATCCCACATTTAACGCCCTGCTCGCTGCACTCACTTCTTCTCTTTCTTGTGTGAAAGAGTGTCCCTCTTTGTCTCGCCCTGGCCCGTGGAGGGATCAGGCTGCGGGGTCCTGGGGTTCTGACTGGAATGGGTGGGATGGCTCCTTGAGAGTTTGTGCTGATGAGGGTGGGGACGCAGTCTGCGAGGTCTGTGTGTCAGGCTGGCTCCCAGGCCAGCAGCCAGGTGACCACCTCTGGCCGGTGTTGTAGGAAGTTGTCTTCAACAAGAGCACTGGGAAGGTGGTGCTGAAGACGTTCAGCTTGTACAAGAAGCTGCTGACCCTGTGCAGAGCAGGCCACGACCAAGGTGAGGTATCGGGACAGGACACAGGGTGCACATGCCCGGCTGTGATGGCAGGGACCCGGCCTGAGGCCTGGACACCGGCTGGGCTCCAGCTGGCCGCTTGGTGACCCAGGTTGTGTCCTGCCTCGTGGACGCTGTGTGCCCTGGACCTGCCCAGGCCAGAGGAAGTTGCTGGGCAGCCTCAGCTCAGTGACTAGCCACTTGAGACCAGGAAGGCACTTTCCAGCCTCTGGGGGAGATGAAGCAGGAAGCCCACGCTCCCTGACCTGTTAGACCCTTGCGGGAAAAGAAGCGGGCTTTCTAGGGGGAACATGGGTCTTCGGGACCTTCCTTAAGAAGGTCCTTACCTTACCTTACCTTACCTTACCCAGACGGGATGTTAACTGATCCTGCACTGCAGTCACTGACCTGTGACATCTAAGGTCAGGGTCTTGGCGTCCTCTGGGGCCCAGCCTCAGACATGGACTGGCACGTTTTCTGCTTCATGGCTGGCGTGACTCGATCCCTCATGGCCCTGAAGTCACTGCCAGCACATAGGCGAGAGGGGCGGGGCGGGGGGAACACGGTCGCAGACCTGGCCCTGCCCGCAGTGGTGGTCCTGCTCAGCGACATCCGGGATGTGAACGTGGAGGAAGAGAAGGTCCGCTACTTCGGGAAGGGCTATGTGGTGGTGCTTCGGTTTGCCACGGGCTTCTCCCACCCACTCACCCAGAGCGCTGTCATGGGCCACCGCAGGTAAGCGAGGGTGGGTGACCTGATGGCCCAGGGCTGCCCACCTGTGCCCCTCACCTCCAGCCAGGTAGCCCCACAAGACTGCCCAGTGGGCAGGGCAGAGAGAGCTCAGAGGAACGGGGGAGGTGAGGCTGTGGGGCAGGCCTGCCACCACCTGCTAGGGAGATGTCAGGGGTCCCCGCAGGCACAGGAGACAGGACATCAGGGGTCCCCCTGTGGGGTCAAAGGGCTGGGCTAGGGTTGGGGGAAGACCCCTGGAGGTGCTGGATGTAGGTGGCCCAGGACGAGACTGGCTTGGTCTCCCTGGCCATTGCGGGGTGGCCAGCACTTCTGCCATGGTCACCCACCCTTCCTCCTGGGCCGGCCTGGACCAGTGACGTGGAAGCCATCGCCAAACTGATCGCTACTTTTCTGGAGCTGCACCGTCTGGAGAGTCCGGCAGAGCTGTCTCAGAGCAGTGACAGCGAGGCTGACGACCCTGGGAACCAGAGCTGACCCCCCCGGAGCCCCCCGACCGCGCCTCGGTTCTGACGGTGCCTCAGCAGGCCTGACAGGCCACCTGCGCGTCTCACTCCTCATCTCCCAGCCATGTCCCCAGGAGTCGCCGGGCAGAACCCTCAGCTGCTTGCACAGCAGGACCTTCTCTGCAGGCTCCAAGGTGTCCAGGGAGGGCACAGGCCTCCTCCTGGAATCAGACAGTCTGCTGGGGCAGCGTGGCCTGGTCTGGACAGGCCCTTAGCCGTGTGGGGCTCAAGCCTCTGAAACGGGAAGGAAGGACACCCAGGGGCCCAGGGTGTGAGGCCCAGGGCTGAGCTCTCTGAGGAGGAAGTCAGCTCCCAGGGCGCCATGAGGTTTCAGCAGGCGGCAGCGGGGCCAGCAGCTGGTCCGGCTCTGAGGACGCCGTCCTTGGGAGTCCTCAGGTCTCCTGCCCTGCCCCCCATGCCCATCACCTCCCTTGCTGGACGTCCTCAGGGAGGTGCTGGCCCCTGAGCTGCTGGGGCTTAGGATGGATGCCCAGGGTCCCACCTGGTTGCTCTGCGGAAGCCACTCCCAAGGCCTCCCCAGCCTGCAGACCGCTGTCCACACTGGGGCCTCGTCTCAGGTTCAACCAGGGCTGCAGCCAGCTTCTCATGGGGAGGGTAACCTCCTGCCCCCACCTTAGCAGATAGCAGAGGCAGGTTTTCTAGGCTCGTGCAGCATTGAAAAGCGGGATCCTCCCCTCAGAAACCAGATCCCCAGCTTCTTGGGAGCCCTGGCGGCTGGGCCTGTTTGTGCGCGGCCAGGATGGGCCAGGCTCACGGCTGCCCTTCAGCAGGGCCTGGGCCGCCAGCTACAGCCACCCCCGTGGAGGCTGACCCCTGCCTGCACCACTGGTTTTCTCCTACTTCCCTGGACCCAGGTTGGTCCCTCAGGTTCAGCGTGAGCCCAGAGCACCCCTGCATGGTGCCTGTGAGGCTGTGCCCCCCGGGAATGGCGGGTGGAGCAGGTTCTGAGGTTGCCTGGGCCAGAGACCGCGATTTCTGGGGAACTTGAGAGAAAGGAGCCTTCCCTTCTTGGGGTCGCTGCCAGCCAGCCCTTGGTTTGGGGACATGGTCACTTAAACATTCCGGTTAGGTTTTTAAGTGGTTGAATCTCAAATTCTTTTTCTACAGAAGTGTGGAACGCTGTATTTTGTTTCTAGTGTGTTCGCCCCTGGGCTGGAAGAGGCCCTGAGACCAGGGGGAGGGTGTTTGGCGGCTCCCCTCCCGCAGGGCTGGGTTGGGTGAGAAAGGAGGATCTCTGGCCATGGTCAGGGCCCAGCTGCCACCAGTGGGAGCTGGGGTGGTGCTGGAGTCCTTCAGATCTTTGTCAGTGGTATTTTTGGCTTCTACTCCTTTTTATTTCAAAGGAATTAAAGTTCTACATGCTGACCACAAAACAGGCCTGGTGTGCCTTTTCCCCCCAAGCTGTTTTCTTCCCAGGGCCACCGGTCAGCAGGAGTGTGTGCTGGGCCGGGGGCAGCTGGACAAGGGCAGAGAGGCCACCAGCCCGGGCTCGGCACTCCCCGCAGGGGGCCTGGCCTGCGTCCCGCCCAGGCCGGCTGCCTCACCAAGGTCCTCCAGCAGAGTCTGCAGCCGCTGCAGGCTGGGCTGCACGTTCTCCTCCAGCCATTCCTCCACCGCGTCCGGGTAGAAGACACGCAGCAGGGCGGCCTCCAGCTCCCCCCGGAGGGCGCTCCACCTGGTCAGGAGACTGAGGACCAGGACGGCGGTGAGCCCGCCTGGCGAGTACCCTGGGCATAGCTCACGGCCTATGTGCTATATTCCTGTCCTGAGCAACCTCTGGGCCAGTACGTCCTGAGCCCCAGCTTCACCCATCCTTAAAACGGGGCTGTGCACGCCAGATGCATGGGGCTGTTGGGAGTGACTGACTTGACTGTCGTGGTTGATCTCTGACACTGGAAGGCACCCACGCCTGGCTGGAGGGGTTTCTCTTGGTGCAGGGACCTGATGACAGCTGCCTGCATTTTACGCTCAGTGGGGAGTCTGCCAGCCTCGGCTCAGAGCCAGGAGCGGAGGGAGGGCTGGCTGGGCCCCTGTCCCCAGGGTGACACACAGCAGTGGGGCTGGGATCAGCCCCAGGCAGCCTGGTTCTACACTGAGCCCTGGACCCTGCTCAGGGTGTTGGGTGACCCCACCACTCAGGCAGGAATGCCCTAGGTGCTTGGACACCTAAGGGCACAGCCGATCAGGTGAGTCACCTGGGAACCCACGGCTGATACCTAGAGAGCTCGTGGGAAAGCTGCTGGCTGCAGCGGGGCGTGAGCAGCCGCAGGGTGGGCACCGGGCGGGTGCCGTACCTGAGCGCCTGCGGCTGGATGTGCTGGATCACGACGGGGTGGATGAGCTTCCGCCTGCGATGGTAGGGGCTGAACCAGCCCGTCACGTACCTGGGGGCAAGTCCACACACAGCTGGGCGTGTGGGGCTTGCAGGGCAGCCTCCGTCGTGGTCCAATAAGACCTGAAAATCTGGTAGTGTTTTGAAAGAGTGGTTCCCCCCAGAAAGTCCTCTTGCAGGATGGCCGTCTGTGGGGGCCTGCTACCCTGGCCACTCACCTGTCCCTCTCCAGCAGCGCGTCCACGGAGCTGCGCAGGTGCAGGCTGACTTGGGTGACGAGGGCCAGGATGTCGCTGCCCGGGAAAGAGCCGGCCCCCTCGCTGCACAGAGAACGCCAAGCTGAGGACGGGTCCGACCGGGAGGGGAGAGGCAGGGCTGCGGTGAGGGGTTACCTCGCAAAATCCATCATCTCCAGGCTTGGGATCCCGAGAAGCTTCTCCACTCTGGCTTTAACGTTTTCAGCAAAGCCTCCTGAAACCGACCACATTCGGTGGTCAGAGGGGCCTCTGAAGGAGGACGGGCCCAGGCCCCGTGCCGGCTGGACCTCCAGGCCCTCGGCCGTGGTGGTGTGCACACCACCGGGGGACAGCGGGCCAGGCCCAGTCGGGCACGTGCCGCCCCCAGGACGGCAGGGAGGCGCGAGCCCGTGTGAAAATGTGTCCCACGAGCAACGAGAAAACAAGACCACGTGGAGATGCCGAGACACCGCAGGGCGAGCCCTCCGCCCTCTGGTGCCACCCGCCCTCCGGTGCCACCCAGGTGACACGCGCCGTCTGCAGCTGGGGTTTGTTCCGCGCTGAAGCCCCCAGAGCATCGGGACGACTGCGAGTTGCAGGTGACATGGAAGCACCTCCAAGCTGGTGTGGGTGACATGCTGCTAGCCAAGGCTCCCTGCGGGGAGGGGCGCCGAGGCCCGGCGCTACGAGAAGGCGGGCGTCTGGTCTTTCCCCCGCAGTTTAGAACCAATACTTAAGAAGACACCAGTCCTGTGCCTGCCTCCCCGCCCTCTGGCTCGGCATCTCGGGGTCCTCCTGCGCCAACACCACTCCGGTGTCCTTCAAATTCCTACCTGGTCCCAGTGTGACGAACGCTGTCCGTGTGCCCAGGGCCTCCCCACCCTCCCCACCGGCTCTTCTCCTCAAGGCTCTAAGCAACGCGCCCCGAGCACCTCTGCCCGCACCTGGCTGCTCCCCCAAGAACCAGGAGTGGGGGTGCTGCCCCCCAGGGCTGCTGGTGCCAACTCCACACCCGCCAGCACTAGGCATTCAGCATGTTTAGACAGCAAAGGCGGACCCTTTCCCGTACCCCATCCACAAGGCATTTTTGTGTGGGTTTGCTGAGGGGCCCGGCCCCCTGACTTGGCCTGTCTTGGGTTTAGGCTGCAGTGGGGTGGGGTAGGGGGGCGGCTGGCTGAGCCGGGGCCGTGGGTGCCTCCCTCACTGGCTGGAAGACCACTGTCCAGCCCCAGGGTGGTGGTGTTTGGGGGCACCGAGTGCTTGGCTCTGTGCCTTCTGCCCTCCTGACTTCCTGGGAGGAGCAGGGAGTCCATACCATGTAAGAGCGCCTGCAGACAGACAGCCAGGGACGGGATGCCCACGGGCAGCAGCTCACACAGCACGGAGAAGTGGTCGTACCTACGTGCATGGAGAGGGCGCTCAGCACAGCAGATGTTTGGGCACCAGCCACTGCGGCTTGTTCTGTGCAGCGGGTCCTCAGGGCCCAGGCTCCTCCCGCACCCTCCTTGGAGTGCCAGCTGTTTCCCCTTGACCGAACACAGGAAGGCCACTCTGGATGGGCTGAGGAGGGCTGTGTGCCCCAGGGAACCGGGGCCACTTCCACCCTCCTGGGCCAGGCTGGCCCCAAGGGCATCCCTGGGGCCCGCGTGGCCGCACCTCTGCCAGCCGGTCAGGACGATGCCCCTCAGCGAGCCCACCGGCACGCCACCCGCCACCCGCAGCCACTGCATGTGGTTCCGGAGGTGGTGCTCGATTGGGGTCAGGGCCTGGCTGGCCCCCGTGGCCCCCTTGAAGGCGCTGGCGGCCCACAGCTGGGAAAAGCCGCTCCTCCGGTACTTCTCCATGAGGAGGGCTGTGTGGGGAAATGAGACATGTGACCGGCGGGGCCCCAGGAGAAAACACGCCTGTCTGGGCAGAGAATCGGGAGGGGCCTGGCACTGACCCTTGGCATGGATGTCCAGGTCGGCACCGTAGTCCCAGAGCACGGGCTCCACCAGCTGCGGCACCCTGGATGCTGGAAGCGGAGAGAGGCCGTGGGTGCCCACCCCTCCGACCCCTCTTCTTGAGTGAAGACAGATTTAAGTACAGATGCAACACTGTGCATGATTCGGGCAGTAAACACCAGGCCGCAAAGCCAGCCAGCTTTAGAGTGACTGGACCTGCTGGAGCTGCGAGGGGTGAGCCCCAGGCCGGCGGTGCCAGAGCCTCTGCGAGGGGGCAACGCCGCCTGCATGTGGGGCTCCAGGCCCAGGTACGACAGGAACACAGCGCTGATTATACCACTGATTATAGCCGATTATAATTAATCCCAACCCTGGTGGCTACACGTGGGGGCAGTGGCTGCAGTGAGGACACCTAGGCCCTGCAGAAGTGTGGGCAGCAACCTCTCATCTCCCCCCAGAGCCTCAGGCAGGCTGGGTCCTGGGGGGCCAAGGGGGCTGGGGGGCACTACTGCCCTCCATCAGCTGCGAGAACCTTGGAAGAAGGCCCTGCAGGGCTGACCATGCAGGCATGTGGGGCCCAGGCCACAAGGAGCGCTGGACACTCAAGGCCCCCTGGGGCCCCGTGCTGTCCTTCAGGTCAGATCCATCACAACTGTACTCTCGAAAGACTCTCCAGCACCTTTTAGGGGAATGGCATTCTCACGAGAGGAGCACGTGAATGTGGACCTAATGGGGTCATCTGGAGTGGGAAACCCAGGTGTGGGCCCACCATGGGGGTTCTCCATGGTGTCACAGGCTTGGAGCAGCTCCGCTTCCTTCCCCGCAGTCCCAGGAAGCCCCCCTGCTCAGTGCGGCCTGCCCCTGCGGCTGACCTGAGAGCTGGTCCTCAGGGATGTCCCGTAGCATGTCGTCCCACACCAGGGGCGTTGTGGTGGGGTGCCGGGCCAGCACGTGGCCAGCCACCGCCTCCATGTGGGACAGACACAGCTCCACTTTGGTGTTGGGCTCCTGCTGCAGCCAGCGCCTCGAGGTCTCGCCCTCGCCAAGGTAGTAGACCTGGGAGGGAGATACAGGTGGGTTCCCCCAATCCCCTATCCTCACCACGGGCACTCAGGCGAGACCAGGGATCATGCTGTGACCTGGGAGACTCTGGGGGCAGCTGCCCGTGGAAGGCGGCAGCCAAGGATGGGCCTGCCTTCTGCACTGAGACCCAAACCTCTGCTCACAACTTCCTGTGGGCCGGTGGTCAGCAGGCAGGAGGTGGGAATGCCCAGATGTCCACCTACAGAAGATGGCCCGTCCCCATGCTGGAAGGTCACTCAGCCACAGCACGGATGAAGCTGGAGAACCGGGGGCTCCACTAGGACCGGGAGGGGCTGGTCCGCTGAGAGAAAGGAGGCTGAGGGGTGCAGGGATGGAGGGTCGGGATGGGGAGGTGCAAGGTCCCAGGACCAGATGGTGGTGCTGGCGGCAAAGCACCTCCAAGGACTGAGAAGTGACCTGATGGTTTGCTTTGAAGTGGTTACAATGGTAAATTCTATGTTCTGTGTATTTTACTACATAAGAAGACTTTTTGAAGATGAGGACCAAGCTCTGGGGTCCAGTGTCCGCAGACCACCATCCCAGCTCAGATACCCGGAGCTCAGACAAGCAGAGGCCTGCGGGTCACCGAGCTCGGCAGCTTGGACTCTTCCTGGCCCGAGTTTCTTGAGGACAGGAGGAGGGCACCCCAGAGCTGCCTTTCCAGCTGGTGCTCCGTGGCCCTAACTTCCCTTCTCCTGCCGTCCAAAACCACACTTCTTCAGCTGGAAGAGCAACTGGCTCGAACGCATGTCCATACCAGCCCCAAGGATGTGAACCTGCCCTGAGCAGGGGCTGCCCTCTGGCCCTTTGTGGGCAGGACAGTCATCCTCACCTGACCCACTAGCTTACACCCCACTTGGCTCCACGGGTCTCCCTGAGCGGTCACCTGTCAGCTGGGACCAAGACCCTCACTGGGGACATCTCTCTGCCAGCCTGTCTTTTGTCCTTGGTACTATTTTTCTATTTACGAGAAGAACCCACTGGGTGGGAGAAGGGGACCCTGGAGTGAAGAGGAGGGGCTGCCACAGAGCCGGGGCACCCACCTCGTCACAGCCGATGTGGAGCCACCGCGCGCCCGGGTGCAGCCCCATCACCTGGTCGATCATGGCCCCGACCAGTGCCAGGGACTCGGCCTTGTGGGGGTTCAGGGTGTTGGGGAAGAGGGCCACTTCGCGGAGGTGAGCCAGAGCCTCGTGCTTCAGCACAAACTGTGGAGAGAGGAGCAGAGCGCTCGGCGACGCAGCCCAGCTCCTGCTGGGCCCCTGGGTCTGGACTCCCTGTCTGCTCAGGGTACCCAGCGGGGCTGTGCTGCGGGAACCGGGCCCAGGGGCCGAGGGGGCGGCTCCGAGCATAGCCCTCCCTCCCTCCAGTCCTAACTGCGCTGCGTGAGAAAACCAAAGGCAGTTTCTATTCACAGCAGAATCACAAGTCGGGGGGTTCCTGCTGCAGTGAAGAGGTTGGCAAATCCTTCCCCCAAGACAAGTACAAAATGGAACCGTTGGTCAAAAACGACCACTTCAGGGCTCCAGACACCAACCAAATGGGAGCAACACATTGGGAGCCGTCTGTTCATGACAGCCGCCTGCAACTTCGGGTGCGAGCAGAGATCCTGCAGCTCTGCCCCTCCCTCCCAGGGCTGGCTGTGGGTGAACCGGCCCCCAGGGGCCGCAGAGGTGATGTGTGTTCTCCTGCCACACACG